AACTATTCTTTGCTTTTATGTTAGAATAACTAAGGGGATGCTTACGAATTTGCAATACGAGATCTTTCCATTTGCTCTCCAAAGATCTGCTTCGTATTATTGTTTCCATTTGGCACAGAGGGTGTATGTACTTTGTTCATTCCAGTCTAACTGTTGATTGGTTAGTAGGTTTACTTTATAGATGTATGCATATTCTCCTTTAAGTAGGGCATTAAACAAGAAAATCCGGGTAAATCTTTGCTGATAAACATGGAGTAGTCCAAAAAGAAGATCTCAAATTGTCTATTTTCAGTCTCCTCGATTGGAAGGACCTTAGTCATATGGAGTAGCTTAAACTTCAAGAATTCTGATTGTCATCTTCGTATAACCCACCAGGTTTACAATTCAACATGGGCACCTAAGTCATATGGTTTTGTGTACATAGTATGATATTCTTTTCTCCGTTGTGGGTCGGACTTAGATTACATCACAATGGCCTAGCTTCTTCCTTACTATCCAATGCTGATGATGTAGGATGATTTTGAACTTGACGCTTCTACTTTGTATCATTAACAATTCAATATGAGCCATTTTTCTATGGAATGTGATGCCCCCCTTACAAGGCAAGATAAAATAATAGCAAGGCTTGCATAGACATTCCTCGAATACTAAGATCTCTCCTTTCTCGGATAGATGAGCTATTTGATATCGTGAGTTTCTAGTGTTATGTGTGAGTCCTTGCTAGCTAATACTCGGGTATTACATGTTTAGTGGGTGATAATAATGATGGTTACAGATATATCTATCTCTCTAAGAGCGTCAAGGGTAAGGCTAGCTACATGAATTAATTTTTGTATGCTTGATATAATATGAAATTGTAATTTCTTTGTTTATCCACCTATGGTTTGCCACCTTGAAAGAATGGTGTGCCCTATTTCTTAAGAAATGAGCATGCCATCTACATGAGGCCAAAATAGAGTATCATTTAAGAATTACCAGTTCCGAACAAACTACACATGCTAGCCATATAAAACATAAGGTGTCCTTTGGCTCAAAGAAAAACTGGAGAAAACATATAGGAATAGGAAAATTTTCTATGGTGACACTATTCAAGCCTTTAGTTCAAAGGATTGTACCAAAGGAAAAATGGAGGAAATTTTCTTAGATCTCAGTTTCACTAGAAAAAATGCAAGAATCTTACAATTCACTTAGACCTCCTTTTCAAACTCCTACACCTGAAAAATGAGACTGGGCTCTTTAGTGGCATAATAGCATGCTAATTATACCTTTCCATGTGGTTGGACTTTGATTTAACCCTGTTTATTATGATTCCTATGAACCAAACATCCAAGTTTTCAAAATTCCTATGTTTTCAAACACATGCATTCCGATTCCAATTCTTGTGTTTCTTGCTTTCCCAGGCTTTTGAAATCATGGGAACCAAAGGAGGGTTACATGCTCTGACAACCAACGCCAAACAACAAAGGAACAGGGTAATGTTTTAACGATGGTAAGGCACAATGGGCGCAACAAGGCGCATCTTTACTTCTAGTATGCTTCAATTTGGAACAGAAAACGGAAGAGCAACGGAGTGAAGTTCGAGCAATTTCCAATAGAAAACACATCTAAACAACATAATTTACAATACAAGATAGATCTCGATCAAATACAAGATAGATGTTGCAAAACCAATTTGTTCCTTTCCCGTGCAAGATTTCCTCTAGAGGTTTGCATATGAAGGTAAAAAGTTGGTTCTTCCCTCCTGCTTCATATGGATGAAGCTTGGATATACCATATGTTGGAAGGATACCATACGTGATCCATGAGGACTTAGACAGAGAAACGACGGGCGGCAAACTGCAAGTTTATTCCTAAAAACTTGAGAGGGTTTTCTACAGAAGTGCATAATGGACTAAGTCACTAAGAATATCATCTCCTTTTTATTAGTAGATATAAAAGAGTCCTGAAAACTCCATCTTTAGCCTTGTTCTTTTTAAAACAAGGGCCATACGCTCCTTTTCTAAGGAGAGAGAAGCATCTGTACATGCACATATTACAGTTCTAGTTTTTATACGTTATCAGGGCATCTCCCATGCTGACTCGTAAACCGGACACCGTATCCGTCCGCTGACAGGGGGACCAATCCACATACATGGATGTAGGAGCCGGCAATCCAATGCTACCCGCATACATTTCAAACACTCTTTAAGTGAACCAAACAAATTACATGCAAACCGAATGACTTTCATTCAAACTAGACAAAAATATTTACATTTCGAGCATATTTTAACTAAACTATACTGCGTTGCGGTAAAACTAGTCTACGACTGACCACGGTGGATCGTCACTCCATTGACATGTCTTCCCATGTCCGGGAGCCCGCTCATCGGACTGTTGGATGCCCTGGAGGGGTATGCTTCAACGTGAGGGGAAGGATAGCTTCCCTCCACTTCCGTGAAACACGGGTCAGGGTTGGTTTTTGGGTAGGGGAAGACAGTCGCGATGGTCTACGCCCCCTCTCACCGGTCAAGACACTCGCTGTGTACCCCAACGGCATGGTGGCGGTGGCCACTGGCGGAGCTAGCTAGGAATGGCTGGGGGGCCAAGGCTAAATCATGGGTGTTTGAGGGTGTAAACTGCTAAAAAAATCCTCATCTAAGCCCTCCCTCAAAAAAATTCTTCATAATTTGATCCAAAGTGGGGGGAGGGCACAGCCCCCCAGGCTTGCACATAGCTCCGCCACTAGCAGTGGCCTTCGTGGGACCCGAGCGGTGGCAGCCTCCCATGATTTACTTTTCCTCACTGCCTGCGGTGGTCGTGGACGTTCCAACCTCCATGACATGGCTTCTTTCCCCACCTGCTTGACATGTTTCCGCCATTGCTCATGGCGGATTTGTCGGGGGCGGCGTTGTCCATCCTGGATTTGGATGTGCAAGGAGGGGTGGTGATGGCGATGGTTGTGGCGCCGGATCCGGAGGGTTTGCCTATAAGCCAACCTGTATCGGGCTGGCTCGCTGGGCAACCCAGACATCTGCAATGCCGGAGAACTCCTTCTGTTCGCCGGAGGCCATGGCAGGTGTTGTACAAGGAGGGGGTGGAGAGGGCGGAGGTGAGGTGTGGTTCTTGCCCGGCGCCTGGACACCTTTATATAGCGGGCGGATGCGAGGAGCCAGCCGGAGAGGTGTTTAATGCTCGTCGGCGTAGGAATAGACATGTGGCACTCGGGGAGCCGGAGCAGGTTCCTCGGCACACATGACGGTTTAATAGAGGTAGGTGGGCAGACGAATGACGTTTCAATGCGGAGAGAAGGCGTGCGCAGCGGGCGATCAGCGGTCCAGATGGTTACGAGTGGTTTGAGGGTCGGCGTTAGAGATGCCCTCAGATTAAGCTAGGGGCAAAGCGATAATCATGCCAACATCCACTGGCTGATGGCACAGACAAGGAGTAAACCATTATACTCCTCAGTTCCCAAATATATGACATATTAATGATTAAAATTAAATTTATTTATGTTTGATCAACTCTATTAAAAAATATAGCAATATTCACAATACCTAATCAGTATCATTAGATTTATTATGAAATGTATTTTCATGTTTTGTTTATTTGATACTGTAGGTATCAACAGATTTCCTATAAATTTGATCAAACATAAAATGTTTGGCCTTAGAAAAAAGCAATACAACTTAATACCTCTATAACTTAATATAAGATGTTTTCTTTGCACTATAACAGTGTCAAAACACGTGTTATATTAAGTTACGAAGGGAGTATATTTTAAAGCAGATGATAAATAAAGGAAGCCAAGAAGAATGCATAATGAAATCATTTTTATTATAATCATCATCTCATCTGATCATTTGATTAATCTTTATCTTTATCTTTACCTCTTTACCTACTAATAAAGCGGCTATTGCTTCTGGTCGTCCGTCATTAAAATTACCCTTTAAGTTGATAAAAATTACCCACCAATGCCATCCGTAAGTGAAAAACGATTCGTTTTTTTCTCTTAAGTCACCGCCGAGAGCGACTGGTTCATATAATGGAATGCGCTGCCAAAACACAAGCAAACCAACCACCCTACTGGCCTGGGCGGTTCTCTGCCACCCAGGAGATCTGGGTTCGAACCTGAGTCCTCCCCATTTTTCATGCCTTTTTTTCACGAATTTCAGTTGGCGTGAGATAGAGCTACATCGCTAAGTGTCGCTTAACAGATGGTCTATACAGTATTACGGTCAAAATATTCTCTTTTTAACTATTTTTTTTGGCAAATTCAAGTATTTTTAAAAAATATTCATATCGTTCAACCCCCAACACCAAATTTAGCATGCCATAATTGTCCAAAAAGAAATTGCAGATTCTAAATATAATGTTGTCTTGCATGTTAATTATTTTTAAAATTATTTTATGTTTTACCCTTAATTAGTACTTTTCTTTTCTATTAAAGGTACGGAAGTTTCTTACTCCCCTTTTTTGTACGTCACTTATTACAAGATTTTCATCTGTCGTTTGGTTCGTCCATTTGCACATAAAATAAAATAGAAAATAAAAAATACTTGCAAATAGTATAAAATTTTCATGAATTCAAAATATATTCTTGATTTTAGAAAATTTTCAGAAAATTGTAAAAGCGCCCACAAATTTAAAAAATGTTCATGATTTCAAATATATGCACGAGTTTTAAAAAATGTTCATGATTTTAAATATTATTCATGATTTCACGAGATTGAGAGTGATAGTTTATCTCGATGATGCAACAAAATGTGGTCATGACCATTGACGATTATGAAAAAAAATCTCCCGTTGCAACGCACGGGCCCTTTTGCTAGTAAACTCCAAATCCCAGAAGGTCGTCAATGTACAAGACCGAAAGAGAACACGAAAAGAAACAGAGCGCAGACAGCTCTTCTCCAGACACGTACTAGGAGGCACGCTCGCGGCGCGCTTATCATCACAGACGCCCCGTCACCGGAGAAGGGGCGGCAGCCGCAGGTGGGTTCCCCTTTGATTCTTGCATCACCTCACCGGCGCTTGTGTGCGCCACCGCTGTGGCTGTGGTTGTGGTGGTGGCCGTCCCCGCGCTCCCTAGACCGCCGCGAGTGCCGCGGCTCCTCGTGCTGCCGCGAGCGCTCCCCCTCCCGCCTGGAGGACGACGGCCTCCTCTTGAAATGCTTCTCCTCCTCGCTCGACTGCTCCTCGTCGTCGTACTCCGTAGGCGCGGGTCTCCGCCTCTCCTCCTCCGCCGCCAAGACCGTCTCCTGATGGTGGTGACGGCTGTCGCTCTCCTCGGCAGCTGCGGCGGCAGCGACGCTTCTCTTGGATGAAGACGACGAGGATGCAGGGCGCTTGTCGGAGGACGACCTGCGGCTGCGCTTGGGGTCGGAGGTATTGGCCTCGCCGGGGAAGCTGATGCGGGAGAAGACGCTGGCCTTGGCCTTGGACCGCTGGTCTGCTGCAGCAGCAGCCGCCGCCTTCGCGTGCTCTGCCTCGTGTCGCGACGCCGGTGGCGGCGGAGGCGGGAGGGGCAGGTCGTCGTAGTGGTCGGACGAGGAGCGCTTCTTGCCGGAGCTGGAGGAGCGGTGCGGGGAGCGACGCGAGTGCCGGTCGGGGCTGTGTGGCGGCGGCGGCAGTGCGCGCTCCGACCTGTCCGCCTGGGGCCTCGACCTCTGCACACAAGAAGAAGGAAAAAAAGGGGGCCACAAGTCAGAATAATGCTAGTACCTCCAATTTCCCAGAGACTTGGCCTGGATTCATAACCAAGGGATCCAAATCGTACTGCCAAGAATATTCCATGCTTTGCACCGACGGCCCTTGGCCCAACCGTTGACAAGGCCTTGAGAACGTCGGCCTAACTACGTCGCATATCCTGGACTGCTTGGGAACGTAATCCTAATCTCTCAAAAAAAACGTAATACTAATAATCTTATAACTTTTATAAAACAGATCGTCGCTTTCATATGGCCTCGTGATCCCTTTTACCTTTTGCACCGTACACTATCTACATCTACATGACTACATCATCAAACATGGTGATTAAGTCGAAGAAAGAAGGAAGATAGTAAAAAAATGCTTTTCTTTTTTTAAGAAAACAAAACAACAACAAAAAAGGGGAAAACGAGCCAAAAATAAACAAATACCAAGGAAAAGCAAAACCGATGAAAATATATATAAACAGATATGTTTCTCCCACATATATTGATGCCATCCTGTAGCCCGAAACCGCAACGAGCACAGGACAGCAATGGGAAGGACACTAGGAGCAGCCGGCGGAATGGTAACACAACTCGGACCAGCAACTGCTGCTTGGAGCAACCCCGAGCAGCTGAGCACATCGGCCTTGCCGGGATGAGCCAAGAACACCGCCCAATCGTGCTGTTGACGAATGCAACGGGCTGCTTTTCTTGTTCGGTAGATACCGTGGAAAAGGCATTCTTCTTCCTGTCCCGGTGGTGCTGACCTCTCCACTGCTGACGCCGCCGCCCACAAGTTTACCATGGAACTGACAGTACATAACTTTGCAAGATAATAGATTGACAGGAAAAGACATACATCCTTAGGTCTCATCGATGTACTATCGTTTACGGCTCCTGATGATTCCCTTGCTTCCCTTCGATACTCCCTGCCCCGGTCTCTGTCTCGATCTCGATCACCATCACGGTCTCGCTCCCTCTGCCTCTCCCTCTCCCGCTCCCTTTCCCTCTCGCGGGAATGTTCATGCTCCCGATCCCGATCCCGGTCCCGGTCCCTGCATTTGTAGATAAGCATTGAGTATTGATTAATACAGTTTAACCATTTTCAAAAAGGCTAGTGAATTAACTGAGGATGAATCTTTCAGGAATGTGGACTTTCAAGGCACAAGGAACTTGCACTTCAGGACAGAAGTGGCAAGTTTCACCACTCAAAACATAAATTTTAGTTAGCAGACTAAATGACTTCTTAAATTACACTAGGGAATGGCTCCATATAAAGGCATTTAAGGACACCCTGCAGTTCAAAAGGAAAAACACCAAAGCAACCAGTTAACTAGATGAAGCCAAAATGCTACCACATTTGTATCAAAATATAAGACGTTTTCTAGCCTACAAAAACACCTTATATTTTGATATGGAGTAGATGTATAACAGGTTATGGGGAATGCTAAATTATGAAGATTGTGATTTAACTTACAGAACCAGATAAAGCTTCAGGACATGGGCGCAATTAGCCCTACACGGTTCACATGCAAACTCACATGCTTTGATCAAGAGCAGAACATATATCAGAATGTAGTGATTGCCATTTTAAGCTGTTTCTACAGCCTCGTTCCTGATCACTAAATCTTGATTCGCTGGTCAAGATTTCATTTTCCACTAAACGATACAACTATCTGGACTCCCATAAAAGAACAAGTTGGTGATGGAGTGACGTCAGCTTGCAAGGCAAGGTGTGTTATTTCTGCAAAATGACCCCTGCCACTCTGCTTTACATTTGCAGGAACCCCTTTATCTGTCTCCCCATCTCATCCAAACATATATGAGGAATAAATTTTGGGCAAAATCTAACATACTTTTAGTGATATACATACCAAAAATAGGGCCATTTTCTTTCAAGTTTGTAAACATGTACTCCCTCTGTTCCTAAATATAAGTCTTTTTAGAGATTCCAATATGGACTACATACGGAGCAAAATGAGTGAATCTACACTCTAAACTATGTCTATATACATCCGTATGTAGTCCATATTGAAATCTCTACAAAGACTTATATTTAGTTACGGAGGGAGTATTAGTCTATTTTGGATCCATTGCAACGCATGGGCACTTTGGTAGTTTATTACAGAATCAAACCGCCATCCCCCAACTCGACCTTTACACAAGCACAGAAATCAAACCTTCAACTCCAAAAGCAAGCATGCCACCCTTGAATTATTTAAACCGGTGCCAAAAAAAAATCACTTTTGACCGAGACATCGTGACATGGCAAATATGTGCTATCTAACTGAACAAGCCAATGCTGAGCTTAGTCACCAACTCCGTCGCTAATTTTTCAAGGATACAGCATGGAGAGGTGTACCAGTAACATAGAATAAGAGCCAAGCGGCTGATACAACGCCTTTCGGCATACAGTTCACAACACCATGACTACAACGACAAAAACAGCTCGCCTAGTCGAACCTCAAGCCAAAAATGGCAATGAGGCAAGACACATAGATCAAGGACAACGTCTCGACCAACACCGGATACCTAAAAAGGACAACCCCGACCACAACTCAGGCTGGGTCAATGCACTCTCCACCCATCATGCCAAGGAATCGGCAAGTGAACAGCGGGAACCAACCGAATTCAAAGAAGGTGTCATCCAAGAGTACAATGCACCCCGAGAGCCCATGCCCACAGCAGAACCACCACCGAACAACACATCGCCCCAATCCTCACCGAAGAGCCAACGGGTGATGGTGACTAGAGAACTCTGTCAATCACTATCTTATCTGAAAGATTAACTCCACTTGATTCAAGTGATTGTAGTACCCAGACATTCTGAGCACATGCTCACTAGTTGAGCAATTCTCCTCCATTTTTTAGGCAAAGTACTGGTCAGAAGTCTCATACCTCTTGAGAGGCCACCACCTCCAGTAACAACTCCGGTAGCCTCCAAGGGCAGCCCAGCAGCACCTCCAAGGAAAGGATGACGCTGCGCAGCACTGCTGTTGCCTGGCCAGCAAGCCAGCCTAAGGTTTCCCCTGGTGCCCGAGCAGGGTCCAAACATGGCCAATACAATGCCTCCAAGGAGGAGATGGCACCTGCGGGCGTCGTCGTCATCTGCAACCGTTGCCGCTGTACAGGGACTTCTCCCCGGCCAAGTTCAGACCACTAGAAGAACGCCGGAGTAGCGCCAGAAGGAAGCAAGCCGTCGACATGGAACTCGCTGTGAGGAGGAGAGCTGCTTCCAGTTGCCGGCCAGGAGGGACAGCACAGCGCAGGGAGTGGATCCAAAGCGCATCTTTGCTCTCTTTTTCTGCAGTGTCTAATGCTACTTCCTCCAGTTCACAAATATGTGATGCAATGCTTTGGACAAATCTCTAGTCAAACTTATAAAATTCTTACTATCAAATATCATCTAAAATATTTAGATAGAAACTTGAAAAATCATACAGACAGATCTGTCTCGAAAATATTTTCTGAATACTATATCGATACAAATAAACTAATAGTCAAAGTTACACTTGAAGACCACGTCAATATCCAAAGCATCACTTATTTGTGAACTGGAGGCATAACACGGGTCAAACCATGAATCCTCTTCTTTTCCTTCTGTTTAATTAATACATTTGAGGTGCTTAAATCCTGTTGATTTTGCTAAGTTATTGCTTCAGGATCTACGTTCGAGCGAGGAAAAAAGCGCTAGTCATCAACTGTGCGTTTTTCCACTGCCTAGCACCCATCTCACCCAACCACACGCCTAGGCATGCTTAAGTGCACGCCTAGCAGAATGAAACGCTATGCGTTCTGTTGTCACCACTCACTACCACCTAGATGCACTTCTTTTCAGCATTTGAGTCTTTTACTTTGTACAGAATTTGGATACATTGAGCATCAAGGGTTCAAGGCCGCACCGTAAGACAGCACGACAAGGTACTTGCAGTAATCTGTTTTCAGGAGTTGGGTCGTGTAAATTGTGCCGCTTTGGAAGAGTACTATACTCGAGTGAGCCAAAAGACAGGGAAGAAGTTTAGGCCATTAAAATGTTTCAACAAGGGACCTTGTTGGACCTTGCCATGCAGAATACACACTGAATCGTCATGTGCCTAGTCTACAGGAGACGTTCAACGACACGCTTGCACCTTTTATATATTTGCTTACTCAAATATGTGATGTTTATACTTGATTGCATCGACTGCGATGCAATCAACAGAAACCAGTTCGGGTAAAAATAACCCCAAACGTAACTAGGGGTATGGGTATTATTTGTCCTAGTTACTCATAGTTCTAGGCTATCACTTATGGCCAATGCACTGGATTAATCTAAAACTACAAGGCACCTGATCATATTGTTTCATAGAATATTGGGTGAAAACTAAACATATGGTTTGAAGCATCTAATTTCATACAATATTGGGTGAAGACAAAGCACATGATTCGAAGTGTCTAGGTTGTAGAATACTAGAATGTTGAGTGAAATTAAAACAAATAATTTGAATTGCTTAATCACCTTCCGTTTAATCGATCCATTTCATGTCTCCTCCCATCTGGTTTCCTGAGCTGAAATTCGTCTCTTCTCACAACTGGTGGCCCCATGTTCATTCCCATACTGTTAACAGCTAATTCAGAAAGGTCCCTGAAAATGAATTATTCGAGTTTCATCATTTAACCAGTGGCCAACTGGTCATTGTAGTAAACTAGTAATAGCGAATGTGTGGAAAGATAAGGCGTATATACTCCCCAAATTTAGCCGACAATAAGTTTGATTAACAAAAAATGAGTCATACATGTCATAAAAGTCATACCATGGGAACCTCTTTCGGATCCAATAGTATAACTTTTGTGGCATTTAATTCATATTTTGTTAGACAAATTCATGGGCAAAGTTAGGCCCAAAAATCGAGGGGGGCTTGTATATTTGTACTGAGTATATTACAGTCTGCTAGACATAATGCTCATCTCCAACCAAATTGGAAATACAGCCACGAAATTTGCAGGCTATGCATTCCTCTAAAATTTCACAGAACAATAGAACATTCATACATGTATAATTAGCCATGTACAAATTAATTTACAGAACATCAAACGATGCTAGAGGTATACCTAGGAACTGTTGGCATCATGTATGCCGGGGGCATAAATGGATCTTGTGGAAGAACTCCCCCACCAAAAGGATCAAATGGACCTGGTGGAGGATAGCCCATGTAAGGCATGGGACCTGGAAATGGTGCACCCATGTAATCTATTGGCAATGGCATCCCTCCTCCCCAGTAAGGGTTAAAACCTCCTTGCGGGCCCAAAGGCATTCCAGCAAAATTTTCAGGTCCAAAATCTTGATAATTATTATTCCATTGCTCCTCGGCTGTAGGTAGAAAAGCAATGTTCGAATAAATAGGGGTAAAATGAAGTTTAACCAATAAAGGTGCAATCAAATATCATGACAATGTTCAAGTAATATATCATGGTTGGTGATCAGAACTTACCATTCCCTGGTGCTCGCACCTTCTTCTTCTTTTTCTTCTTTACTGCTGAAGTCACCAACATAATATCATTATTTCAATGATAATAAAGAGTTTAAATATCAAACATGTACACACTAGAAAAACACAAACAAGATGAACATTTGGCTAATTTGACCCAAATAAATGTTTTAGTTCAATAAAGCTTGCGTGGAGGTTGCATCACAGACAAGGTTAACTAAAATGGAACAGGCCAGTATGATTATCACCTTGTTCGCCTGCAGGCAATTTTTCCTGTGACTCTTTTGCGACATGAATCATTTCTGGTGTTTTTTCCTTTTTGCTGTTCTTAGAGTCCATTGTCGCTTCAGTGATATCTGGAATTGTGGTAACCTTATTATCTGAAGAACTCACATCAATGTTAGCTTTCAATCCGCTCTGGCTCTCAGCGTCTGGTGATTCCTCTACTGGCATCAGTGCTTTAGGTTCTTCTTTTGAAGCAGCAGAAACAGCAGGAGACCTAACCTTGGGTGGTACAGGTAGAGCCGACTCCATGTCTATGCAAGGTACTTCATCAGTTTCCAATTCTTATAGAGGCAGATAATCTGATATAACTGATATACATACCCTGTATTTGCACCATGCTTCCCGCGTTTTCTGTACTGCTAGTTGGTGGTGCCTCTAATATGCGACTGATGGTTTCTCTTAGAGTTTTATTGGGGAGAAGATCGTCTGCTAATATGCTTGTGGCACCACAGACACACATTGACTTGCTAATTATGTAGTCCCTAATGCCTGCCAACAAAACACAATATGTCAGCCCACTAAAGAGCATGTATGTTTGAAACTTGAAAGTGGAGATATTGAGAAGAACAAGAAAAACGCAATGCAGAAAATCCATACAGCAAAACCATATTTGTATTAAGTGACAACAGTATCAATGTCAACAGTGTGAAAATAATAGATTCTTAAAGCGCAACTTACATTTATCACAGAAACTCTTAAAGCAGCATTTACTAGTTAGAACGGCATCCTTCATTACTTCTTTACATAACGGGCAACGCAACTCTGGCGGGAGATCACTGAGAGATCGGGTGGTGGGTAGGCCCTCTATCTCCCTCTCAAAAGCAGCTCTGTCACAAAAAAAAATATGATTAATCTTTACCTCCAAGTAGACGGAGAATTAGTGATTACGTGAGTAACCAAATAAGCAATTTGAGCTCACTCATTTGGCTTCAAAACAGCACCAGCCCCACTTGGCAGTGCATATGAGCCATCTCGAGTTGCCATTAACATGGATTTTGGGATGCCAGTTGGAGGTTTCATCCTTCTAACGTCATATCTAGTATCACCATTTGTTGGGCAATGTTGAATGAAATGACCTGTAAACCAGTATCGGTCAAGTGCAACAGGACAAAATATTCCATTAACAAAGATTTGACAAGTGTCCAGCATACCTGGTACTTTACATCTATGACAAATATAGCCAGGAGGAGGTGACCTGTTATCTAGCCGACCCATCCCACGTCCTTAAGAATATCAAAGCAGATTAGTACTTACATAAACATCTAGTTTCAAATAATGATGTTAACAGGTATCCATGTTGCATAGGTGCCCATGTGCACTCCCTTCATGAAGCTTGGTGCTACTAAGCTCTACATAAATCTTGCAAAAAAAGTGACAATAGAAAGGGTGGAAAGAATTACCAAAACCACGCCCAGCCATCATTCTCCCACCCATTCCTCTGCCATAACCTCTTCCGGATCCATAGCCATCAGGAATTTGGCTGAAAATGAGATATCCAGTCCAGTATATATTTAGTATTATTCCTCTAAGGGATAATAGAACAGTCATTCAGCCAATCCAGCAGATCACTAACCTATAGTCAACGGCCACTGTATCAATAAGGGCTTTTATCTTACTATCTTCGTCAATTTGATTTTCAGAAGAAGCGTCAATTGCCTGGCTAGCAGGCTGAGAAGGAACTGAATCAGAAACATATAAAGAGTTGCCGAACTCATCATCCCACTCAGATTCTTCAGGCTGCAATTTCAATACCTTTAAACATTAGCTCCCAGGATTAATAGACCACCGTCATAGCTCAAACATCAAACTGTGGTTGCACCGGCAACTACTGTATGAGATAAAAGTAACCCAGACTAGAAGTTATTCTTACATATTTCATAGATGAATCACCAAGAAAAGCGCTGCCAGAAGGCACGATTTCTTCTACCCTACTTTCTGCAGCTATTGCCCTGCAAAAAAAGGTGAACCTTAAAACTATGATTGTTGATAAGGAGTAACTCCTGACATGGACCATATCCAGTGACATGAAGCAGTTAAAGTCAAACATACAAATTAGAAATCTGTTCAGATGGGTTGTGTGTGTTTGACTATTGATGATGCATCAGTAATGTGAATTATGAGGTATGATGTGGAGTAAGTGTGAAATCAAAGAGCAAAACAGTACTCTTGTGGTTCAGTAACGATTGGCATCCTTGGGCGTCCTGGTATCCGGCGAATCAACACTGAAGTGTTCTTTGGTATCATGATAGATTCATCAGCATACTCTGAAAGTACAAACATCACAGGAAATGGTTTAAGTAATACTTCGACTGTACAACACCATCCCAAGTCCCCCCAAAATCAAGATATTCCTATCATGCCCACTAATTATAAGTTCTTAAGATACAACTGTATTTCAATCTGAGTGAGTGAGCTCGAATGATTGTGCGGTGAGGTAAGCAAATAAGCAATTTGAGCTCACTCATTTGGCTTCAAAACAGCACCAGCATCGCAAATCCACTAATCCAGAATGATTGTTCAGTGAGGTAAGCAAACAACACAATGGCTTCATTGAAACACACTTACTAGTCATCGATGCAATGCGCGGTAGATGTGCTCAGCATCGCAAAAGACATTCAAGTTGCTAACCATTGCAAACAAAGATCATGTCAAATTGTCAAAATATTGCAATTTTATGTGTAAACCCAGCTAACAGTTAATCCTCCACACCAAACCAGTAGATCAAATCGTCATGTCTTAGAAAGCACTGATCATAAGAAAAAAATGAGGCAGGCAACAAATAATACCAGCTAAATAAGGCCTCAATTTTCAGAAATCTTGCGTGCATGAATCAAACAGCCAAAATGGCTTACCATACATAGCAAACAGCATTACAACCTGAGCCTATCACAATATTATCTACCACTAACATCTTGTATACATTCACCCACACAAGAAATCAAGCAAAGGTTCTTCTCTGAGAAAGAACCAATATTATCTAGCTAGCACTAATATCTTGTATACATTCACCAACACAAGAAATGAAACAAGGGTTCTTTGCTGAGAAAGAACCAACCTTCATCAGTCTGGGCATTCGAGATCATGAGGTCGAAATCAGTGCCTCTGCCAAGGTGCTTGGACTCAAAAATCATCTCCTTGAGGTTGAGAACCGAGATGAACTGCCCCTCGATAGGGATCGAGTCATAGTCTCTGGCACTCTTGAACTTATAGTAGACAGCCATGATAGCGCTGGATCTAGATGGTGTGCCGGGTGTGCAGCAGCACACCCAATTTGCGCGGCACGCCCAAAATTTGTGGAGATCAGTGGGGTTTATCTAATCACTCGGCGCCATAAAGCTCACAGACGGCCAGGATAGCGGACGGGGTTGAGATAGCAGCGACGCGATGAGGCGGAACGGGAACGGCGACGGCGGCCACGCGCGTGCGAGGTCGGACGGGTTGGGGGTTCAGGCGTCGGCGGTGACCTAAGCTACGGCACGGCGGCGGCTGTAGGACACGGCAGACTGTAGGAGATGTTCTAGAACCGCATCGGGTCGGATTGGAGCTTGCTTGGGTAGGTCAGGACTCGGGAGAGGAAGAGGATGACTGGGAGGGGAAAGAAGGGTACAGGTACGGGACGGTGGAGAGTGGAAACCGTGGAGGGAGGGGATGGATCTCACCCCTATGGGCCTGGGGTCGACAGCAGATATTTGGTTCAAAAGGGAAAATATACTGACATTAGTACTCCCTTCCATAGTGTTTCCCTCTAGTTAGGGTTTTCTCCTCTCGACAGCGATTGTAGCCACGATATCGTCTTTCTTTCCTACCGCTGATCTGCTCCGGGGTCTCGATTCGTGCTGATCCAGGGGCGTTCCTAGCAACACCACTCGGCCTTGGTTGAGATCTTCTTGCCGCGGTTGGCTTGGGCTAGGGTTTCCCAGATATACCCGGTGGTGCTTTCGAGATCGGGTAAGAGGTAGAAGATGGTTGCGGAAATAGGGGGCAAGTCGGCTATGGCCGGCGCTTCTTCGTCTGCAACGGAGATAGAGAAGTTGATGAAGGAGCTTGGCCTCCAGGAGGACGACATGGATAACGTGGTGGTCGATGAGACCGTTGTCCCAAAGGATGCTGCAAGATGGATGGCAGTGGCTCGCGTGCACATAGACAAGACCTACACCCAGGGCTGGTTCTTCAGGAATATGCGAGCTGCATGGGACCTTGCACAGCTGGTGAACTTCAGGCCGCTTGAAGCAAATTTGTATACTTTGTTGTTTAATTGCTTGGGAGACTAGGAAAGAGTCGTGCAAGAGGGGCCCTGGAACTTCCGGGGCAACGCTGTCATAATCACCCCTTATGACGGAATAACCCAACCAACCAAGGTGAGGCTAGACACTCTGGATATTTTGATCCAAATTCATGATGTTTCGGAACTATATGCACACCTGGTTCCTTCGTTGGCTGCAAAAGTGGGAGAAGTGCTACATGCTGAGAATGTGTCCTATGATTTTACTGGCAATTTTTTCGCGTCTGGGTCAAGATCAATGTCCACAAGCCCTTGAAGAACTTTGTTTCTCTAATCAGGGGTGGGGAGAGACAAATATACAGGGTTAGTTATGAGTGCTTCCCTAACTGGTGTGCGGGTGTGGACACTTGGGTCATGTCTACAACGAGCATGGGGATGGGATTCACCCTAAATCAACTTTAGTTTTCAGAGACCTCCGTGCGTCTTGGACGATGAGGGTTGGTCGCGGCCCTGGTGCTGGTCGTGGTCGCCGTGGTGGAAGAAGAGGTGGCTGTGGTGGTCACCATGATGCTGGGAGGGGATCTGGCATGAATGGAAACTACAGAGAAGATGAAGATTCATATGAAACGGCTGCTGACATGGTGACTGATGATCCTAATAGGAAGAGGGCAGAAAGGACCGAGACTAGCTCCAAAACCAACTCAGGACAGGAGAAGCATGATTTGGCTCTGGTTCCTTTTGGAAACAACATGGTTAGCCCACCACCCATCAGAGACCCGAAGCGAACCAGAATAGGAGGAGAGGATCGAGATGCTTAGAATGTAGGGGAACGTTGCATGGGAAACAAAAAATTTCCTACGCACACCCAAGATCCAATCTAGGAGATGACCATCTACGAGGGGAGAGATTGCATCTACATACCCTTGTAGATCGCTAAGCGGAAGCGTTAAGAAACACGGTTGATGTAGTCGAACGTCTTCGCGATCCAATCACGATCCGTCCCATGAACTCCCGATCCAAGTGCCGAACGGCTGGCACCTCAGCGTTCAACACACGTACGGCTTGATGACGCCTTCACCTCCTCGATCCAGCGAGCGATGGTGAAGTAGTAGCTCGAGTCCTCCGGCAGCACGACGGCGTGGTGGCGGTGGTGGTGGCAGAATCTCAGCACAGCTTTGCTAAGCACTACGGAGAGGAAGAGCGATGCGAGGAGAGGAGAGGCAGCGCCGTGGCGTGGAGATGTGCTCTAGGGTGCGGCTACCCTCTCTCTACCTCTCTGTATATAGGGAAGGGAGGAGGGGGTGGCACCCCTAGGGTTTCCCCTAGGGGGGCGGCGGCCAGAGCAGATGGGATCTCCCCTAGGGTGACTTGCCCCCCAAGCCGGGAGGTGGGAAGCCCTAGGGGGCGCCCCCAACTCTCTGGTTACGTGATATGGGGTGAGGGGGCGCTTAGCCCCTTAGTGGGCTGGTTTGCCCCTCCCCTTAGCCCATGGGCCCCCCAAAACCCCTTTTGGTGATGCTGGTCATCACCTGGTACCCCCAGAACAATTCTGGACTCCAATATCCTTCATCCAATATATCGGGATCTTCACCTCCGGACCATTCTAGAAGTTCCTCGTCACGTCCGGGATCTCATACGGGACTCCGAACAACCTTCCGTAACCACCATAATGACTCAACTATACTTATACCGTAACCAAACGTTAAGTGTGTAGACCCTGCGGGTTCGAGAACTATGCAGACATGACCGAGACACCTCTACGGTCAATAACCAATAGTGGGACCTGGATGCCCATATTGGTTCCTACATATTCTACGAAGATCTTGTTGGTCAAATCTCGATGTCAAGGATTCAGCTAATCCCGTATGCAGTTCCCTTTGTCTATCAGTATGTTACTTGCCTGAGATTCGATCGTCGGTATCTCCATACCTAGTTCAATCCCGTTACCGGCAAGTCTCTTTACTTGTTCCGTAATACAAGATCCCGTGACTAACTCATTGGTCACATTGCTTGCAAGCTCATTGTGATGTTGTATTATCGAGTGGGCCCTGAGATACCTCTCCGTCATACGGAGTGACAAATCGCAGTCTTGACCCATGCCAACTCAATAGACACCCTCGGAGATACCTGTAGAGCACCTTTATAGTCACCCAGTTATGTTGCGATGTTTGGTACACATAAGGCACTCCTCCGGTGTCAGTGGGTTGCATGATCTCATGGTCATAGGAACATATACTTGACATGCAGAAAAACTATAGCAATAAACTTGATAAGATCATATGCTACGTTCATAGTTTCGGTCTTGTCCATGTAACGCCCCTGATTTGACCGTACACTAATCATGCATGCAAATGTGTACGACCAATATCAGGGACTCACGGGATGATATCACAACACAACTCTAGACACAAGTTAAAGATCATACAAGCTTCATATTACAAGCCAGGGGCCTCGAGGGCTCGAATACATAAGCTCGATCATAAACGAGTCAGCGCAAGCAACAATGTCTGAGTACATGCATAAGTTAAACAACTCGCCATAAGATGGCTAGCACAAACTGGGATACAGAACGAAAGAGGCGCAGGCCTCCTGCCTGGGATCCTCCTAAACTACTCCTGGTCGTTAGCGGCCTGCACGTAGTAAGCACCCTTGGGGAAGTAGGATACTTCGAAGGTGGCTTCTGGCTCTGGGGCTCCAACATCTGGTTGCGACATCCGAGAAGAAAGGAAAAGGGGGGGAAAGAGGGAGCAAAGCAACCATGAGTACTCATCCAAAGTACTCGCAAGCAAGGATCTACACTACATATGCATTTATATATGTATAAAGGGGGTAATATTTGTGGACTGAACTGCAGAATGCCAGAATAAGAAGGGATAGCTAGTCCTATCAAAGACTACGCTTCTGGCAGCCTTCATCTTGAAGCATGTAGAAGAGAGTAGCTGGTAAGTTCACCAAGTAACAACGTATAGCATAATCCTACCCGGTGAGCCTCTCCTCGTCGCCATGTGAGATAGCGATCACTTGGTTGTATCTAGCACTTGAAAGGGTGTGTTTTATTAAGTATCAGGTTCTAGTTGTCATAAGGTCGAAGTACATCTCTGGGTCGTCCTGTTACCATGGACACGGCTATTCGAATAGATCAACTTCCCTGCAGGGGTGCACCACATTACCCAACACGCTCGATCCCTCTAGCTAGGCACACTTACCTAGTTCATGGCCGACCTTGGGAGATCAACACGTCACAGCCCTACCTAGGCCTAACAGAGAGGTCAGCACGTCGGTCTAAATCCTAAGCACGCAGGGGTCTGGACCCATCGCCCATTGCACACCTGCATGTTGCGAGGGCAGTCGAAAGTAGACCTAGCCTCCCTAATACAAGAGCAGGCGTTCCAGTCCAATCCGGCGTGCACCGCTCAGTCGCTGACGTCTAGAAGGCTTCGGCTGATACCACGACGTCGGTTGCCCATATCTTGTCCCACGTGGCGGTTAGTGCGTATAAGGTCAATGACCCAACTCGGATCAAATATCAAGATCTCGTAAAGCTTGTTATTTGATGTATCCGGGACACCGACCATGGACCAGGCCCCACCTATCTCCTAGGTGGTCACAACCTGCCATGTCGCTCCGCCTCAAAGTAACACTCGAGAGCCGTCGGGAACCCAGGTCCACCACTACCTGGATGGAACCACCTGTCCTTTCAGCCCCCATATCTGAATCACTTGCGGGTACTCTACGAGACGACCCGACTTTAGTCACCACCTGTATAGTATGTATGTATGTATATACCCGTGACCATCTCCCGAGTGATCACGGACCGATAGTATAGCAAGGCAGACAGACAAGAATGTAGGGCCACTAATGATAAACTAGCATCCTATACTAAGCATTTAGGATTGCGGGTAAAGGTAACAAAAGTAGTAGCAAAGACAGGATATGCAACATAATAGGATTAACCGAAAGCAGTAACATGCTATACTACTCTAATGCAAGCAGTAGAGA